AAACTTTCATGAATGGTTAGGAGCAATTGTAAGTAATGTCATACTTTCTATTATTTTTATCTACATAGAATGCTTATGGTAAAAATAACATTAATAAAATATATATTTATTCCACTTTTATAGGTTTGGAGTGAAGGCTTGTTAGTGAAGAGGTAAAGTGTCTTTCACACGGTTTGAACCAAATTGTGAAACGATACAAAGGTTTCATCATCAATGGATTTAGATTTGACACAAAATCCCGTGAGAGATTTAGAAGTACACAAAATTCAAGAGTTGTTGTGACTTTATTAACTACTTGCTATGCTAGGACTAGGGACACAAACCCTTTAGAGGGAAATGTTGACTATTATGGCATGATTAATGACATCATTGAGTTAGATTATTATGACAAGTGGAAAGTTGTCTTATTTCGGTGTGATTGAGCTGATGTGAATAGTACGATGGGTTTTAAGAAAGTTTAGTATGGATTTGCACTTGTAAATTTTTCTTGATTAATACACACTAGACAACAACTCATCGATGAACCTTATGTATTTTCATCTTAAGTCAAACAAGTATTTTACTTTGAAGATCTGAAAGAATTTGGTTGGTTTATTGTTATTTGAAACACACCAAAGATGATGTTGAACATGAAACTGAATGTTATCCTTTTGCTAAACAAAATTTGGATGAGAATATCTTCAATACCTATGCTCAGTGGGTCCATGAAGATGTTACTAAAAACATTTACGAACCATGATTCCGTGCATCTATAATTTGTAATTCGAGTGTTTAAGACATAATATAGTAAATAATAGTATGTAAATAATGTGACATTCGCTATTGTATAATTATTGTCTTCTAAATCATACATTATATTTTGATTTAATTAAATCGATATGTTCTTTATATATCGTAGGTTTTGATTTCTTAAATTGAAAATGTCTTTATATATCTTTTGAACTAATATTTTTTCTATATTCACTTCTATGATGTAGGTAAGCTACAATGCGAAGAAGTAGGTTGAAAGGAAAACATATTAAAGATATTAGTTCAAAACCGTCTGTGATACTTATAAATACTGACTATGGACTAAATCCTTTGGAGGCAAATGAGCGTACTGTTTGATCTAACTCCATTACTTTTAACCCTTCAACTGATATTGGATTGGGCAATATGGGAGGTCCAAGTTTAGATAGTACCCCATCAATTGATTATGTTTTAAATTTGAATGCAAGTATGATATGCTCTAATTTTAGAATTCAAGTATAATGATAAAAGTATTACGATTTTACAAATATATTTTATATTTGTTGCAGTTGATAACAATGGTCAACGGAGGACCAGAGGTCGAACAACTTTGAAGGAATTATTTGCACTACCTCTTAACGAGCATATTGTAGTGTTTGCAAACTCTGATAAGCAACCAATTGGTGAAAAGGCTCAACTATTAGTTGGATTTCTAGGCATGCTAGCCCATAATGGAATGAAATTGCCTATTTATTAGAAAACATGGCATAATGTTCCAGAAGAAGTTAAGGTCGATGTGTTAAACTTTATTGAGATATTAGTATAATTAATTAGATATATTCAAATTTTTTATTTTACATTTTGTTTACTTATTCAAACTTTTCTTATTGTATTATTACAGTCAAGATTTGTACTTGAAATACCAATTTCATTTGTGCTTAAGTCATTAGGAAAGAAATAGAAAGATTATAAGCATAGTTTGAAGAATAAGTATTTTGATCAAAATACTACTGTAGAGGCAATGATACAAAATCTATCCCGTAATGTGATTAGGTGGCAATATGAACAACTTGTTAGATTTTGGTTCTCAAGAAAAGGAGAAGTATTAGTTTATAACTTTGTATAATATAATGAAATGATGAAAGTGTTTGATGGTTTCAGTTGGTAATATTTGTATTTCTATCATAGACGTAATTATTTTTTATGAAAGGAAAGAGAACATATTGAGATTAGTAGCAGAAAGTAATAGAAATATAACCACACAAGTGGATCAAAAAGTTTTGCAAGAAAGCAAAAAGAAATCGTAAGTTTATGATAATTAACTTATTCCAATGAATGAACTTTTTCTGTCGTTAAAAGGTAAATATGAAAATTAACATTTATTGTTCTGTTTTAATAGATTTGATTATTTCAATACATGATATTAAACTTATCGAAAGTTTTGAACTTAGTTACATAGATGATATGTATGAAAAGTTACTATTTACGTATATTTACGCCTTTATTATCTGGTTGTTGTTATTGTTGTATTTTAATAGTTTCGATAGCTTCAATAATTGATATTAAGCTTGTCCGATTGATTGAACATGGTTTTTATGATTGATATGAGAGAAAAAGTTGTTAGTTATATTTGTTTGGGAATACTTTTGCATATAAAAGGCAAATATATAAATAAATTTTGGATGCCTTCCAACACATTGAATGGCTTCAATCTTTCATATTAAATCAGGAAAAAAAATTGAATTTGGTTTTCATGATCGATATGTGTGAAAGTCTAAATGCTTTTATTCTTTGCGTATGTTTAAGACTATTGTGTTGTTACAGGGTCAAAATATAAATAAAAAAGATTAAAATTATTCAAAATTTTAATACTTGATTGACAGGATTGATATGCATAAATAAGTTACAGTTGATATGTATCCTATCAAATAATATATGTTTTGTATAGAAGAATGAGATGGACGGTCCAATTAGACGTGTGAAATTTTTTCGCTTAACACACATAAAAAAAGATGGATCTTACATGAATGTCGAAACACAAAAAATTATGATAATTTGTATTATCTATTTTAACATAAAGTAAATATTAACTCTTTTTAACATATAATCAATTAATCATTAAACTTGATAATTGTATATGACAAATTCACAGGAGAAAGCAAAAGAAAAAATGGCTACTGAGATTGAAGCAGCATCTGAAGGTTCTCTCAACATGCAAGAAATGAAAAATCGGATATTCATAAAAGTTGCTGAAAAGAAAGGCATGGACGGGTTCGATGCCTTGGATTGGGTCCAACACCATCTACCTACTATGGACATAACTCTCCTCAATTTACACTCTTAACAAGTTAGTCTTTGTGAGACATTTCAATATTGAGAGGGGAGTTACAAACTATGCAACAACGTTTTCAGCAAATTGAAGCAGAAAGAGAACAAGAGCGTGCCAAAATTGAAGAAGAACGTGCTAGAATGAAGTTAGAACGTGCAAAATTTCAGCAGTTGCATGATCGATTCGATCATCTTATGAATTTTATGCAACAACAATTTTCAAGAAATGATCTTGGTGCTCCATCAACTCAGGTATTATATTTAGTAAATATTAAAATTTTTAAATAAAAAATAAGCATACAATGAAGTGTTAAAAATTGTATGTTATTATTCAGTAGGTTATTGAGCATGCTATTGACAAAGGTGAAAATTTTTTTTCATCAATTGGCAGCTAACAAAATGTATGTAGTCATCGATTTCATACATTTTAAGTTTTTATTTGGTTAATGTATTTACAATATTTGAATGTTATTATACTAATTATTAAACTTTGTATTAATTAGATGTATATTTAAACGTGAATGAAGTTAATATTAATTTCAATTTCTGAATTTAAGCTCTTTACTGAAAATAAAATTTATTATAAAAAATTTAAAAAATATATTTTTACATAATAGCGGCGTTTGTGTTGGCAATGCCACTAAATGAATAATTTAGTGATCTTTGTAGCATAAAACATCACTATAAGTAACGGCGCTCTTCCAAGCAAATGCCGCTAGATAGGTGGCGTTTTTTATAGAAACGCCACTAAAGCAACGGCATTTTTCTTATAACAACACCACTGAATTAATGACGAGTAAAAGATACAAAATCGTAAATATTAAGGCATTTTCAAATTTAAACGCTTCTAAAGTAGCGACGTTTTCTGTTATAAACGCCGTAAATGCAACAACGTTTTTCTCATAAAAACGTCATTGAAATAGCGACGACTAAAAGATACAAACATCGTTAATATTGAGCCATTTTCATATTCAAATACCTCTAAAGTAGTGGTGTCTTAAAGATATAAACGTCATTAAAATGGCGGTGTTTCAGATATACACGCCGTTAATATTGAGGTGTTTTTTTGAAAATACTACTATTTACCACGAAGCGTGTATAGGTAGCACTCTGCATGATATTTTTTCGCAAACGTTGTAACCTTGTAGTGGCATTAATAAACGCTGCTAAATGGTATAAAAAAATATCGTTAAAAACCGAAACTTCTGAAGTGATATTAATGTAAACTTTGTCAAAATGCAATTATAGTAAAAGGAATGTTTTTTAACATTCCTATTTTTAACTGTTACCTTTTTATTTTGTAATGTTTTTAAGAAATAATATAAATTTTTTGAATATCAAATGTGATAAATGCATAATATTCATATATCTCTAAAAAAAAATCAAAATCAATAAATCAAATAATAAAATTATACGTTAGCAGAGATGTTCCAATCACAGACTCAAAGACGGCACCAAAAGAAGGCTCGAGCTTAAAGGTGGACGTACCGCTGGAGGGTGGCTTGGAGAGGACGGCATAGGGACCGGGGCCGGCGGGGATTATTGGTGATCAGATAAGTTCTTTCTTCTTATGTGCTGCCAAGGTGCAAGAACAAGAAATAGGACGAGAACATAAAAACATTGGCCAACGGTCAAGGTTAAGCTTCCTGTCCGTAGCCAATGGTGCGATTTTAATTTTTTATAGTCAGATCGCAGATGGAAAAGAGACGAGTAGTAAAGACACCAAATTATCATCTCCGCCCAAATTATCTTTAAAAAGAAAAGAAGCAACCTTATAATTGCAAAAATTGAGATAATTTCTTATTAGAAAAAAGATTCCAGACAGTCAGATAAGATTAAAAGGAGTGCTTCAGAAAATTAAAAGTCATTGGTCTAAAAAAACCACACATTTTTCACTTAATTTATTGGATACAAGAAAATGCTAAAATTGTAAGCAAAGGAAACTAAGCCTGGCTTATTAGTTTTTTTGGGGCCTTGATGTAACCCGCATGGGTTGAATTAGCCACCTTTGTTAGGGTTTTGAGATCATAGGAAATCCAACACCTTGATGTCTCCTTGTTGTAAAAGTAACCCAAACACTTGCAATCCTTAGTGCATTTCTTGCCACATTCATCCTCTTTAATGGGTCCATTTCCTCTAGTATAAGTACTCATGAAATGATCAACCCCTTCAAGCTTGTAGTAATAAAAATCATTCTCTTTACTACTAGTTAACTTCTTGGGCTGACAATCTTTGCTCCAACCCATCAGCCCCTTTGGTAATGGGCAAGCTATGCATTGACTTTCCTCGCAAAGCCCAAATTTCCCACATCTCTCAGGCAATTGGCATTCACTACCCCAAAAAGAACCTCTAAATAAAAGAGTGAAGGTTACTTCCCATGCACTTTCAAAGACAAGATCATAATAAGTGTAGATCTTAAGGTTTCCATCCAATCCAAGGCGCAGGAACGATAACGTGCTGTTGTAATTTGGTCTTCCCACCCGAAGAGTCGCTCCAATAGACGAATTAGCTACGTGATACTCTAAATTTAGCCCATAGGAATAACCATTAAAATTTTCCGGAGCAGAATAGAACTTTACATATTCTAAAGGACCCTCGTTGACATTCACCCAAGAGGGATGATTGAAGTAGAGAATTGGCTTGGGGGTATTTGGGCTCTTATAGTACAAAACTAGTGCTTTGGATACCATGACTAGGCTATAAGGTCCCTCCGAATTGTCAATATCAGAGGCCCGACTCACAAGCTTGGTTCCACCACCAAGCCGAAGGGACTGGCCCGCTAAGAGGGTATCAGTTGGATAATCAAAACTTTGCCAAATAAAATTACCTTTGGAATCATGAAGCACCATGTTACCATTCGGGAGCAATTTGAACCCCGTCACACCTTTGTTAGTAGTGTTAGTTTGCCAAGCGATCCGACTATCTGCATCTGCCAAGACAAGGTTTCCATCACGTCCGAACGTCAACGTGGCATTTTCTCGAACCGGGTTGCCACGGTTGGCTTCCCAAACCCACATGAACAGTGATTCTGAATATTCAAGTCCCATGCGTAATGCCAGGGTGTATGCATTAGAAGTGGTGTTATAGAAGCAAAGTTGGAATGGGGCAGCAAAAGGATCTAAAGTTCTATAGCTTCCACCATATTCTACAGCATAAAGACCGAATTCTCCTTCATTGACATATTGAAATGTCTTAGAGGGAGGAACAGAAGCTATAGCAATGGAAGGAAAGATGGTAAACAAGAGGAGGGATATCACTGACATTGTGAAAGGAAAGGGGAAACAAAACTGAAGGTTTTTAGCTGCTTGGAGGATAAACATATATCCCAATTTATAATGAATGACTTCGAGGGGGTTAATAATCCATTGCAATCTATTATATATTGATACTAGAATTATTCTTTATCATGTGGCAAAGTCACATTCTTTTTATTCTTTTTCTTGGTGCTTGCACATGCGCATGTCGTAATCATTAAGATACTTTGTCGTTGCATCAATATATATGCTCCATTAAGTTAAGATGCTTATTAATTAATTAGCTAACAAGTCCAATTACTAGTGCTTCTAAGCATTGAAACTTTTTAAGGGCTTTGATAGATCTGATTGCAGTTGGATAAGAATAGCCAATGTTATATATTTGAATTCTCAATGTTTTTAATATGGGTTATAACTCTATACCAATTAGTCATGTTTGTTGAAAAATCTTGAGGTTGGCTGTATTTGTAAATTCGTTCATTTCGGTAATAAATGATCTTGTATTTGGATTTCATCATTAATTGCTTGTTGATGTTAATCTTAAATACATAATTTTTATATGATATAATAAATTTTGCTTCGATATAAGAGAATGAAAAACTTATCTATTTCAAGCTACGAAAAATTAAAAAAATTAAGAATCAATGTTGAGCTTGGTTTACATTTTTTTAGGTAAATCATGTGAAGCTTACTGATGCCTTGGATCTCATGATGAATGAAGACCAAACATGCCAAAAACAGTAGTGCTTCAACTTGAGTCATTTGCATCATAGTTTTATTAAAAACAAAAAGAAAACTTTTCTTTAATAATTCAAAGGAGATGACCTACAAGTCAATTTTTATAGATAAAAAGATTAAAAAAGCTTATCTTTAAATAATGTGAAAAAAAAATTATGAAGGCAATTTGATGTTTCTTTTCTCTTTCACTTTGTATCATAATTAACTCAAACTTTAAACACGTTGGTCATTTGTATTTTTATAATGCCTTATACACTAGTCGTCTGCAGGTTAATATTTTTAATGTCAAGTTAGCATATATTAATGTATGTTGGTGACCACCTTAGTTTGCCAAGTGATCCGACCATCAACATCGGCCAAGACAAGGTTTCTGTCACGTCCGAACTTCAATGTGGCATTTTCCGGAACCGGGTTGCCACTGTGATTCTGAATACTCATGTCCCATGCGTAATGCCAGGTTATATGCATTAGGAGTGAACTTCTAAAAGCAAAGTTGGATTGGTGCAGCAAAAAAGCTCTATGGGTTCCACCATATTCTACAGCATAAAGACCGAATTCTTCTTCATTGACGTATTGAAATGTCTCGGAGGGAGGAGCAGAAGCTACTTTAATGGAAGGAAAGATGGTAAAAAATAGAAGTGATATCACCGACATTGTGAAAGGAAAGGGAAAAGAAAACTGAGGGTTTTTAGCTGCTTGGGGCATCAAAATATATGCCAATTTATAATGAATGAATAGGAGAAAGTTACTGATCCATTACAATTAAAAAAAAGAAAGACAGATATTCTTTTAATTTATTTTTTTCATGGTGCTTGCACATGCAATTTATATCATAATCATTAAGATACTTTAGAACTTTTGTCGATGCATCAATGTCCTAATATATATGCTCTATTAAGTTAAGATGCTTATTAATTAATTAGCTAACAAGGCCAATTAGTGCTTCTAAGCCTTTAAACTTTGCAAGGACTTTGATAGATCTCACTGCAGATTTGGATATAAATAGCCCAAATTTGATCTTTTATATTTTAATTCTCAATGGTTTTAATATGGGTTATAAATCTGCTTTAATTAGTCATGTTTATTAAAAAATCTTGAGGTTGGTTTCATTTGTAAATTCCTTCATTTCGCCATTAAATGATCTTGTGTTCGATCTTATCAGAATCATTGCTTGTTAATCTTAAATACATAATTTTTTGTGTGATATAATACATTTTACATTTTTTTGGTAGATCGTGAGAAGCTTACGAATGCCTTTGAACTTTAGAGGAATTGAGATTCGAGACCAAATATGCCACAAACAGTAGTGCTCCAACTTGACTAATTTGCATCATAATTTTTTTTTAATAAAAAATTACTGTTAATTTAATAATTCAAACGAGAAGACCTACAAGTCAATTTTTATAGATAAAAAGATTAAAAAAAAATTTCTTTAATAAAGTTAAAAAATTTTTAATAAGGTGATTTGGTGTTTCTTTCCTCTTCCTCTTTTTATCATAATTCCCTAAAACTTTAAACATGTTGGTCATTTGTATTTTTATAATGAAAAACAACTTGATTGCATGGAAAGCCAACCACAACAATATCTAGCAGTATATCAGTTCAACAGTTGAAACTGAAATCGGTTACGTGATTATATCCAATGCCCATTTATAGTTTGTATCTTTAATTTGAACCTCAAATTTTTTGTTAATTTTTCATCAAATAATTAAATATAATTTACAAATTGGTTTGTTAATACTAGAGCATTAAAATAATTTAAGCGACATTTGTTATGAGGTGATTTTTTTTTTTTTAAATTGAGAATGGTATAATTATCATGATTTGATTACTATATTTCGTAACAGTGATTTTAGATCATTGAGAGTTATTAAATCATTCTCAATTAGGGATTTGATTCTCATCCAAAAAAATTAGAAAATTTTATTATAGAAGAGTTATTTATAAAAGGCTAAAATAATAATAAAGTTCATGAACTTTATCATTTAACTTAAATAATTTTTTATATTTTTATTACATTCAAATAAGTCTTTGACATTCAATTTGTACTTAAATAAAATTTTAACTTTTAATTTGTATTCAAATAACGCATTAATATTTAATTTGTACTTAAATAAATCTTTAACATAAATTTATTTTTTATTTAAAATAAATATTTATTTGAATACAAAAAAATTTATTTGAATATAATAAAAGTATAAAAACTTATTTAAATAAATAATAACGTTTAGGGTTTTTTTAGTATTTTAACATTTACAAAATTAATTTAGTTAAATTTACTTGAAGTTGTGCCTGCCAAAGTTTCACTAAAATTTTAAAATTGATAAACAAAATTTCGCTTTTTAATCATTTTATACAAAACGGTTTACGTGACCCTTATGTGTGAACATGGAACTTTGAATTATGCTAATAACAACTGGTCCTACCTTATAATTTTCAAAATTGAAATTATTTTTTTAAATAGTCTTGTTATAAATAATAAAATTTATTTTTGATGTTTTATATTCAGTATTTTTTTATAATATCAAATATAATTATTTATAATATTGTATCAAATACGATAATTTAAATTATCAATGATCAAATAACTTTAATAATTTAATTGTCACGATAATTAAATCATTACAATAATTTTAAAAGTGATATTAAAAGTTAGCTAATGATTAATCTTTTGCTAGTATTTTTTTTTAAATTAAAAGTTATAAAGCAAGTTAAAAGTAAATGGTAAGAATTGAATCATATTTTTTGAAATAAAAATAAAAATATATTGATTAAAATAAACTTGTCATTTCAAGCTCTTGAAACCTAATTGTTGTAAAAGTAACTCAAACAGCCAAACTCTTGCAATCCTTAATACATTTTTGCAAAATTCTTTTTTTTTTTTAATAAAGATAATAGACATGAGTTCAATGTAATTTCTTTTTAAGAGTGCGTTCAGTTGGTTCCATGTTAAAAATTCAAAAATCAAAATAATCCATTTTACTTGAAATAATCGATTGAATCGAATTAAAGGAGCTAATTAAAATAATTAAAACTTACTTAAGTTGATTATTTCGATTGGTTTGTTCAATTTTAATTATTAAAAATATAATTTATATTATTATATAAAAATTATTTTATATTTAAATTATATATTATATACATTATATTATATAAATAAATTATATATTATATTATATTATATATGATTTTAAAATATTATGTAAAATTTGTTATATTTATATTATATAAAAATCTATATTCCTATATATTAAAAGGATCTATTGAAGGTTAGTGATTGACATCTGTTAAGTTTTATGGGTTAGAGCAATAATTGATGAGCTAGATTAATAATTAATTGTATTGGACTAGAACTTTGTTTGGTTCATTTAAGAAAAAATCCTAGCCAACTCTATGTCTCCGTCAACTTAAAAGTAAACTCTATGAAATGAGATTTTTTATATTTAAATTTTTTTCTTTTTTATTAATTAATTAGATATGATAATTCATATTTTTGTATTGTATCTCGTATCATATTTGATATTTATAATAATATAAATTATTAAAATATAAATATAACACGAATTATAAAATGTGTTTAAATCTTAAACACGAACATGACACGTTTATTATACGTATGACACGTGACACGATACGATTAATACGTGTATAACTAATCCATTTAAATAGACACAAATAAATATGAATAATAAGGATATATAAGAATAAATATGACTAACATTGATATACACAAATAGACACGATTAATATAAATATATATATAAACATGGCTAAAAAAATAAATAACTATAAACTATCTATCATTTATAATTTAATAAACTTGACATATTAATAATATAAAAATGTACCTACATATTAAAAAGAATTAAAAAATTGACGTCCATTTAATATGTATTATATATATAAATTTTAATATATATTACGTAATTATATCAATTTTTAGTATCAAATTCAAAATAATTAATTACTAAAGATTAAAGAATAAAATAATGATGTATAAGACTAATATTAATATTTATATTGTATTTATATTATTAATATAAAAATAATTTTTTAATAATTATTGAATGAGTATCATAATTAAATGTTTGAAATAATCTTTATATGGTATTAAATAGCTAATTAAGTATCATAATTAAAAAATTAAAAATTAAAATAATCTTTATATATTTATATTAAATTAAAATAAATCTAAAAAAATGTGTTAAACGTGTTAAACATGTTAACGTGTATTCTTATAATAAAATTAAATTAAATATATTTTTCATATTGTGTCACGTATTAAACTAGTATCCATGTGACATATTTTATCTAAATATGTTTTTCGTGTCTTACAAGTGTTTGACATGTCAATATATATAAAATACGAATTGTGTCTTATTGAAATTCATGTCGATACGAATAAATATGAAAATACTTTTTTTTAAAAGACATATACAGTTTTTTCAATATTGTTTTCTTATCGTGTCATTATATCGTATTTGAAAATGTCAAGTTCATAATTAACAAGCTATGGTTTTTTTTTTTTTTTTTTTGTGAAGGGGGTGAGGGAGGAAGAGAAATTAAAATGACAAATAAAATTAAAAAAGAAATTGGTGAGATAAAAAAATATTTATATTTGATATATTGTTAGTGTATAAAATTTATACACTATCAGTTAATCGAATAATATTATCTTATTAATAAGGTGAATCAGATAATGTCATATCATTAATGAGTAAATATTTTTAAAATATTAATTTTTTTATATATTTATTTTAAAGTTTAATATTTACTCATTAATGAGATATTATTATGTGGTTCATTAACAGTATATACATTTAAAATCTATATGTTGACAATAAATCAAATATAAACTTATAAAAAAAAGTCCCAATTCATTGGAAGAAAGGGAAGTGAAAATTTTCTATTAAGCTATATTTATTATAGAGTTTTTATGTTCTTTAATTATTTTTTATTATATTATGATAATTTATTTAATTATTTTATGAAATTTAAAATAGAAAAAAATTGCTTTAAAATATACAATAAATTAATTATTGGAAAATTCAAAGATGAGACTTAAAAAATAATAAATTTTTAAATAAATTCCTGAGAGAAAGATAATTATTTGATCCATAAAAATGTTGGAACAATATAAAAATTCTTCAATAGATATGAAAATTAATTAAATATAAAAATATTCGAATATACCACTAACGTAGAGTATTGACAAATTTATCTATCTATATACCCAATATATTCTTAATATAAATATAAAATGTTGTAAATATTTATATATTTTTTAAAATTTTTCTTAAAACTTTTTTTTTATGAATCAATTGATCGATACAACATTGCAAATATTCGAATATATACATATTTCAATTTTTAAAAGAAAAAACAAAATGATATGATAGAGTAAATTTGTAATTGTGGAATATATAATTGTAATCATAAAATGAATAAAAATAATTATTAAAAAATGAAAATTGAATTAATTTAATAAATCATTACAGATATTTTTATTTATAAAACATATTTTGATTATTTAATTTACATTTATTAAAATAAAAACAAATATTAATGAATACAGAAAAAAAACTAGATTAAGATCCGTGCGATACAAAAAATAATTTTATTTATTTAATATGAGTATATATATGAAAATTAATTTTTTTTTCAAAATTATATTTAAATCTTCAAAATTTATAACATATATAAAATTCTTATTTGTCATTACCTTAGGATCATTTTTATCTACAGCAATATTTATATATCTGTAAGATTATATTAAATAAAAATAAATTATATTTTTAAAAAAAATAAAAACATATATATTATTGAATAATGAATTAAATAATAAAAATATTAACATACTTTCATTTTTGTAATATTGACCGAATTGCTGTACAAAATATGAAAAATATTAAAAGATATGTGAAAAAATAAATGAAAAAAATTATTTTTTGTAAGAATGAAATTGCAATAGTAATAAAATATGTTATAAACAAAAAAAAATTACAATAGTAATGAAATATATCTTGGAAAAAGTTGCAAACTGAAAAATAAAAAATTGATATAACACATTACATTTATAGTTTTAAATTTGTAAAAGAATTTTGTAATGATAATTATGATTAAATAGATAACTTTTAAATTAATTTTTTTAAAATTTAAAATGAATATAATAAGTGATAAAGATGAAATCAAAATTTTTGCATATATTTAAAATATAAATTTGATAATTAGAGTTTAAATGGATATAATTATTTTAATGGTCTTATTATTTAAAGATTTAATATGAAATTTTTAGATGGATATAAAAAAAATTGTTGAAAGATTTGGATATATTTAATTTTTATAATTTTTAAACATGTTTGAAAGATTTTGATAATTAAATAATTTTTTAAATAAGGTTATTTGATAAATGACTAAAATTATTTATTAAGAAGATAAAATCTATATTTCAGATTTTTAACTTTAAAAAATATATTTTAAAATTAATTTAATTTTCAATTATAATTTGAATAATTATAATATTTGAATAAATTTAAAATTATTTAATTTTTAATTAAAAAAATTATCTTACTATTTTAAAAAACTAACTTATATGCCATTCAAAAGAATTATTTACATAAACATTTATGTAATAAACTTTATGAGATGTCTATATATATTATAATATAATATATACATATGATTTCGTTATGAAGTGCAGATGCATTTAATCTTTTCAGTTATAATTTTAAAAGTTAATTGATTGAATTAACCAGAATTAACTGTTTTTTTCTAATAAATTAATTAAAACTAATAAATTAAATTAAATTAATATATTTTGATCTATTTCTATCGGTCAAGTTAATCGGAAGTTTACAACCACACGAAGTACTCACCCTTATTTCTCTTACAACGTAGTCTACAAGAAACTAAAGTAGTTGTAAAAGTCAATTGGGATGACTTTTCTTGCTCTAGAGTCTATTTAATGTTCTTCTACTTAGACTGGCAACAGACACTTGTGATTTGTGAACTAATATTCTGCCGCCAACACAAATTCTGGACCAAAAAGTCAGTCACGAATGTCGACAATACACGCTTTCTCATACTCTTAATAAGACATTGATGAAGCCAACGATGTCAATTAGCCATTGTAGGACAAGCTATAGTACTTTCAGTTCAAAAAAAAAAAAGAAGAAAGAAAGAATCAATCAGATTCAGGGTTCGATTTCAATGTTCTTCAAGGGAATTTTGATGTTCCTTGTTCTGGTCAAAGTGGTAGCTTCAAGCAATGAAGGTTTCATCTTCAATGGGTTTGGTTTAGATTTGGTTTATGGCCAAAGAAAGAGTTTAGAACTGGGTGGTGTAGCAGAATTGAGAAATGATGGTGTTTTCGAGCTCACAAATGGAGAATTTCAGATTGGTCGTGTTTTCTATTCCGTCCCATTTAAGTTCAAGAATTCATCAAACGCTGAAGCCTTTTCTTTCTCCACCACCTTCGTGTTTGCTATAGTCCCTGAGAACTCTCGGGGCAATGGCCTCGCCTTTGTTCTTGCTCCTTCCAAGGAATTCACTGGAGTTGTTCCATCCCAACATCTGGGGCTATTCAACCGCACAAATCATGGGAATTCCTCCAATCATATCATTGCCATCGAGCTTGACACTTTCCCAAACCATGAGTTTGAGGATATTGATGATAATCATGTTGGTATTGATATTAATAGTTTAAAGTCAGCCAAATTGTCTCCTGCAGGTTATGTTTCCAGCAGCAGTGGTGAGTTCAGGCCTGTTGATCTTGCTAGTGGGGAACGTATACAACTTTGGGTGGAATATGATAGTACAAAGCATCAATTTAATGTAACATTATCTCCAATTACCATGAATAAGCCCAAAGTCCCACTTTTGTCGATGGATATCAATTTGTCACCATTCATCTTAAAGAATATGCATATAGGTTTCTCTTCTGAAATTGGTGTGCGAGGAGCATCTACTTATGTTTTAGGCTGGAGCTTCCAGATGGATGGGAAAGCTGAAGATCTCAATCTCGCAAAACTATCATCTGTACCAAGCACAAGAAAGGAAAAGTCCAGGAAAAAGGAAGTAATACTAGCAGTTGGATTGTCCTTATCCGGAGTGCTTGTGTTGGTAGTTATATGCTCTGTCATGTTTTTCTTGACAAGAAAGAAAGCCACATTTGCTGAGATACTTGAAGATTGGGAGGTTGAATTCGGTTCTCATAGGTTTTCTTACAAGGATCTATATGTAGCAACCAAGGGATTCAATGAAAAGGAGCTTCTTGGACAAGGTGGTTTTGGACAGGTTTACAGAGGCGAATTACCTGTATCAAAAGTTCAAATTGCTGTGAAAAGAATCTTCCGCAAATCTCAAGACAGAATGAAAGAGTTTATTGCAGAGATCGTTACCATTGGAAGGATGCGGCATCCCAATTTAGCTCGTGTCCTTGGCTATTGTCGAGGTAAATATGAACTCTTGTTGGTCTATGAATATCTGCCTAATGGCAGCCTTGACAAGTTCCTTCACAACGAGCAAGAGATTGTTCTTAATTGGAACCGGAGATTTAGTATAATCAAAGATGTCGCTTCTGCGATTGCCTATCTGCATGACGAATGCTTGGAAGGTTGCATTCACAGAGATATAAAAGCCAGCAATGTGTTATTAGATGATGACCTGAATGGAAAATTAGGTGATTTTGGCCTAGCAAGATGTAGAAAACATGCACAGGAAACAACTCATATAGCTGGCACATTTGGCTACATGGCACCAGAGCTTGCTAAAACTGGCAAGGCAAGTACAAGTACAGATGTCTATGCATTTGGGGCATTTTGCCTAGAGGTTGTTTGTGGTAGAAGGCCAATCAATTGGCAAGCATCGGCTGAACAGGTGCATCTGGTGGATTGGGTGTTCAAATGTTGGGATGAAGGGGATATCTTGAAAACAGCAGACTCCAAACTTGGCAAAGATTTTGAGGTCTGGCAAGTTGATCTTGTATTAAAGCTTGGTCTACTTTGTTTACATAGTGTGGCAGCATTTAGGCCAACAATGTCCCAAGTTACTTCATATTTGAAGGGCCAAGATTCACTTCCTGAAAATTTGGAAATAATTCTTCATAAGTGGGAGTTCATGGAAGAGTCCGCTAATCAGTCTGCACCGTGGACAAAGGATTCTATAGCAACCTTTGATGTCACTGAATCCTTCCAATCTTCAGGTCGTTGATTGTATTGAAAATTTAAGTAAAGTAAATGATATAAAAAGTAGTCCTAGCAACACAATTCATTTTTACATGTCATTTAATTTGAATTGATTTCACCAATCAGATTTACTAAAAGTTATATATTGTGGCAAGTTCACATGTCAAGTGTTATGGCTTTTCTTCAATATGTATGATTATATTATATTTGTTGCATTTACTTGATCTTGAAACAACATCATGTTTCAATTATTCTATTATCCTTCAACGGCCATTTTGCCCAACCAAACATGTTATTAGTCAATTCACTACTCAATTAAATATTCAATTACCTTTATGCTTCATTTGGACACATGAAACAGCATTTGCGACATGATAAAATCCCTTTTATAAATATTCATTAGGTTGGTTCAATTAATTTTGAATTGAATTAATCAAATTGAATTAATTTTTTTTTTCATTTTCTTTGATTGAACCAAAATTATTATTTTCAAAACTAATTAATCAAATTAACCAAAATTAGCCCCAACATGACATTTTTCAGCTTCCTCAGCTTATCCCTTAAAATCAAATCACTTACCTCGTCAGTTATGCAAGAACGCAAGAACCAATAATAGAAGAACCATAGGTATTGGACTTCCATTTAGTGATAAACTGACACTAGAGGAAGAGTTGTAGGCAGTCCAATTGCCATTTGCTGAAGATGACTCCAAAGTGCAATAATGCGCAGAGGAAATCTTAACAGAGTGGGATATGTGGCTGCCATCAATATAGCAGAGAGTGATCAATAGTTGGGAGAAGAGGGAAACAGTTGGGCTCGACTTCTTGCTTTACTTGAAGGTACAATCTGCTGGTTATAAAAACTTTATTTTAGTTATTAATTTTTTTTTTGAATTTATCTAAAATTATTAAAGTTGATCACAAGAAGCAAAAAAATTGTTTTAGGAACAATAATTTACGAAATAGATCTTTTACAAAATAACTCCTTATGAAAAGATCATTGACGAAATAATTTTTTCATAGAACAATTGTTAATAAAATACTTCTTTCATAGAAAAGTTCATTTATAGAATAGATATTCATGGAACAACCCTTCATAAAATAATTATTCACATAATAGCTCTTTATGGAATAATTATTCATGGAACACTTCCTTTACAGAATACCTTTACAAAACAACTAGTCTTGGAACAATTTCTTCAAGTAATAACACTAACATTTTTATCGAAAATTTTTTCATCAAAAATTGTTTCACTTAAAATTATTTTACAAAAATTACTTCACCGAATTAAAGAAATGAAAATAACCTCAAAATATAATAGAGTTTTTGGGTTAACTTTATTATTAAAATATTCTAGACAACTTGACTTAGTAGATCAAATATGAAAATAATTAAGAGGTCTCATCTTAATTTTTTTTTAAAGTATGAGTATTTTTCTCTTTTATTTTAAACTCTCGTTAGATAATACATTAACATCTTTTATAAAGGTCAATTCCACCATAATTTTTCATTATTCCTATTCAATACTTATGTTATGTAACATTCATTTTGGTGATCTTTATATAAGAACTCCCACAACTCATTGAGAGAATTTTTGGAGACCCTGACAAATTCATTTAACTCTCTTAAATTCTCTCAATGATTTCTCTTCCTAAATCTCTTTCTCAATCTTTTTTTTTTTTTTTTATCTACTCAATTTTGTTTCATTGCTTGCCACTACCTATCGTTACACATAATATTCAAAGTCTGCTCCAGTTTTTCTCTCCGCACTCTCCCATCACATCCCCTGTATTTATTTACAATGTTTCCTCACCTCGCTGAAGAACTCGTTTATTATGTCATGACTGAACTTTAGTGTTGCTGGGATGCTTGATGGATGCTTTACATTAGGCAAGGTTTTATGATTTGTTGGGAGCTGAGTCGTGTGTTAAGGAGGGAGGCCGAGCAGAAATGAAATGAGGTAGAAGGAAAATCATTTTCAAAAATCAATTGAAATTATTTCGATGATTAATCAATTAGTCAAAATATTTTAGTTCCATCAATTAATTTGAATTTAATCGAATTTTGCGGATCCCTAATGCCTCTCAGAATGCCTCCAAAGGATCCTTTAATCACATTGCTGTCATATATTTTGGATTGAGAAATTGCTAATATCAAAAATAGTTTGTGAATCATAAACAGTAACATCTCATTTCTTTTGTTCTTTACTTTACCGCTTCTTCTTTGCTACATATTTTTTAACTAAAAATTATAAAAATAAGTTAAAAGAAAATGATAAAATAAAATTATATTGATTAAAATAAACATATCGTTTCAAGTGTATAAATTGTTTTAATAAAAAAATAAAATCGTAAGTTATAATTTACACGATTACAAATCGAATTATCTAAAAAGATTATTAACTCGTAAGCTGATAGCTATAGTAGGTTTTGTTTGGTGCTTTAATCAGAATAAAAACACTAATTAAAATAATTTAATTGGAATAAAAATATGTGGTAAAAATGGGAATGATATATTTTAAAATTAGAGCAAAATTTTATACTTCTCATTTTGATTCTTTTTCTCCTTTCTTCTGTATCTGGGCCTGGTTTGTGTCCACAACTATTTCGGCCCTACTCCTGTCTCGGCCTATACACTCGGCTCAAACTATTTCCTTTTCCTTTCGGTCAACGGCTTGCCGTTTTAAACCTTCTGTGAGAAATTCTCACTTACTTTTCTTCTTAAAATTTTCAAGATTCATTTTTGTTTTTCAAGTCATTTATTGAATTAAAATTTTTTGTTTTTTTTTTTTAAATTTAAGATTGAATTTTAATCAAACCCAGGATTTTTTCAGCACAAAAATTTGATACTCTGACACCATGAAAGAAGAACAAAGCTCACTTCTTCTCAAATCCTCCTCTCTCTTTCCTCCTCCTCAAGGTCTTTCCTTTCCTTTCCTTTAAAACCAAAAGGCATTGTTTTAATTTCTGTTACTAACAAAAGACCATTTTTTGGGTTTTTGTGTTTAGGAGTAAAGCTATCATATGGGACAGCAGGGTTCAGGGCAGATGCATCAATCCTAAAATCAACAGTTTACAGAGTTGGGATATTGGCTGCTTTAAGATCACTCAAAACTCAATCAGTGGTTGGATTGATGATCACGGCTTCACACAATAAAGTTACTGACAATGGAATCAAAATTGTTGACCCAAGTGGTGGAATGCTCTCTCAAGAATGGGAACCGTTTGCTGATCAACTTGCCAATGCCCAAACTCCTGAAGCTCTCCTCTCAGTGAGTGACTTTTTATGTTTTTGGATGTGGGTTTTATTTGTTTTATAGTTATTTATTGAAATTATTGTTGAAAGAGAGTGGGAATTGGCGATTTTTAGATGAATTTGCAATTTTTCCTGATGGTTTCCGTTGGGTGCTTCTATAAGAAGCAATAGTTTTTTTTTTTTCTTTTTCTCTTCCCTGACGAGAATACACATTGACATTATGAATATAATTAACCAAACAAGTCCTTACTAGAAGAAGAAAACCATTTAAGATAAACTGAAAAGCCAGCATGTATCTGGAGCAAATCCAGTATAAAGCTAGAGCAAGCCTGTTTAACGTAACGCTTAAACCTAAGACCTAATGATTCTTGTGAAATTGTGAGATGCAAGAAGTGTTTATGGTTACTTTCAATATGTCTGGCAATTTAACTTGTATTTGAGTTCTGATCTTTACATTTATGGTACGGGAAACTTGGGAGATAATTCTCCATGTTTCAATCAAGTGCCCTACAGAAGGGTGTATGGTTACTTTCAATATGTCTGGCAATTTAGATGTGGGCCAATATGTAGCCATTATTGCTGGTTCAGTAGTAATTTATTTTTCAATTTAACTGTTGGTCACAATTCCTTGGCTGGTACATGTCCTCGGACTAGTGGTACACCTGATGGTATTGATGGAGCTGTTGGAGGACATGGTGGCCGGGGAGCTTCAAGTCTGAAAAATAATAAGACAAGCTTTTGGGTTAGTGATGTTTATTGCTGGTCAACTTTGTCTGAGCCATTGAGTTATGAGAGTAAGGGTGGTAGTAAGGGTAATGGTACTTCGGATGGGCTTCAGTTTGGAGGGAAGGGTGGAGGATGAGTTAAAGTCATAGTAAAGGACATGCTATATCTGAATGGATCTGTATCTGCAGAAGGTGGGGATGGAGAACTAAAAGGGGGAGGGGTTCTGGTGGAAGTATCTACTTAAGAGCTATGAAGCTGTGAGTGCATGCTACCTGAACAAACCAATTTCATATTTCTAATTTTCTGCAATCTTTAAGCTGTGAGTACATGGCAAAGCTTGGACGTTTATTTGATGGGCTATTGTGAACTGACAGGGTAGTTGTTTTCTTTAAGCCCAAAATGATAAAAAACAATTTCTACTTCTTGTTCTTCTAAATTTTAATGTTTGTTGTCTATTTAAATAAATGGAGAGGAAATTCTGGGGAAATAGGAATTGAGTTTGAAGAGGGATTTAAATTCTCTGTGGTCTAAATAACTAAATGAGTCAGGAGATGCTATTATACTTATTTATTGTTTGTTGCTTAAAACAGCTCATAACAGAATTTGTAAAGAAGGAAAACATCCCGTTAGATGGAGTGCAATCAGCAAAGATATTGTTGGGAAGAGACACACGGCCTAGTGGACAATCTCTCCTGGAAGCTGCAAAGCAGGTATCTCTTCTTTCAATCACCATGGTATTGCAGAAACTCTGATAATTTTCTTTGTAATGTTAAATATATCTGTCCATTTTTAGGGAATAAGTTCAATTTTTGGAGCTATTGCACTTGATTTGGGAATTTTAACAACCCCACAGCTGCATTGGATGGTTCGTGCTAGGAATAAAGGCCTGAAAGCGACAGAGCCTGCCTACTTTGAACAAATTTCAAGCTCATTCAGGTTAGTTAGAGCTTAAGGGGTTTTTTAGCCATTTATTTAATCTGAATTTATACTATTTACATTATTGTTTAGGTGCTTGATAGACTTGATCCCAAATGAAACCAAATGCAACAAGACTGACAACACAGTGGTGGTTGATGGGGCTGATGGTGTGGGTGGAGATAAACTTGAAGTTTTGAAAAATATGTTGACTGGTTTAGTTATGGAGGTTCGTAATTTTGGTAAAGGTGGCGGTCTACTGAATGATGGGGTTGGTGCTGATTTTGTACAGAAAGAGAAGGTTGTTCCACGTGGATTTGGTTCCGATGATGTTGGAATAAGGTGCGCGTCTCTTCATATTTGGGGGTAAATTAGTTACAGTTTTTAACTGATTAGAAGCTGGTTATTCTTGCCTCTCATTAAATTGAAGGTTAAACGTACATTTTAATTGCAATTCGTTCTAGCAAGTGTATATGGTACACAAGATAACAACTAAACATGGAACTAATTTGAAGTCATAGTCAATTCTTTCTATAATTGATATGTGTGATATTTCATGTCATTTTTATTGGCACTTTTTCAATAGTTTGATAAGTGGCATATTAGCACTGCTTAATGAAGTGATTACTACTAGGCACTTGATCATTCACTAAGTAGCATAAGAGCTAGTTTGCATGGTTTATTCATGAAGATTTTTTATGGTGTTTTCAGTGTGATACTTGCTTTTGATATATGTGATGTATGTTAAATTCAGTTCTTGTGCTGAATTTTTTGCTTATGGTGGGAGGATCTGAAATTTTTATTTATTAGGTGTGCAAGTTTGGATGGTGATGCTGATCGCCTTGTATATTTTTTAGTACCAACCAGTGGTAATAGCAAAATTGATCTTGTTGATGGGGACAAAATATTATCCTTGTTTGCATTATTCATCAAGGAGCAGCAAAGTATTCTGACCAAGGAGGGCAATGAAAAATCAAATAGTAATTTTCAAGCTCGTCTTGGCATTGTACAAACAGCTTATGCAAATGGAGCATCCACCGATTATCTCAAACAGTTGGGTTTAGAAGTCATTTCTACTCCTACAGGGGTAAAACACTTACATGAGAAAGCTGCTCAATTTGATATTGGAATCTATTTTGAAGCCAATGGTCATGGGACTATCTTGTTCTCAGAATCTTACTTATCTTGGTTAGAGGCTAGGAAAAATGAGCTCGGTTTGGTGTCTGAAGGTTATTTCTGAATGATGTCTTTTTCTTTCCAAGAATTATCCATGATAGTTTATTACGTATTATGCCATCTTTTTCAGGATCTGAACAGCAGAAAGCTGCTTTAAGACTACTCTCAATCAGTAATTTGATCAATCAAGCTGTTGGAGATGCTTTGAGTTGTTTGCTTTTGGTTGAGGCTATTTTGCAACATAAGGGTTGGTCGATACATAAATGGAATGAACTTTACCAAGATTTACCTAGTCGACAGCTTAAGGTCAGATTCCTTTATTACTCTTGGAGAAAAAAAAAAAAAGAAAAGTCTTTCTCAAGTGTAGCAGGAACCATATCTACCCTTTCTCACTAGTTCTATGTAAATTTGCAATCTGGAATGTTTTGAATAAGGGCTTTTTTGCACCGTACACCTAAAGCCCTTTCTAAATTGTGAATATTTGTTCGGCATGCTTCTCTTGATGTTGGTTGAAGAGGTAGGCATCATTTTATTTTTTCCATACAAGGGAGAAAAGATGATTCATGTATGTGAAGATTGAAAATGCTGCATATAATCCTCATGATTATCAGTTTAGCTAGGTGATGGAAAGAAAGGTTGAGGTTTGACATGACTTATAACAAAAACTAGTAAATTTTGTCTAATTTGACATTCGCTTAAAATTCTTAGATTTATTACATCAAAAAGAGAAAGAAGGAAATCCTGGATACAGCTGATTCTGCATGCTGGGTTCACTTGATATTGTTTTGCAAGTAAACTTTGCCTTCCTTTAGGTTTACATTAGCAATGCTCATGCTAATTAATGCTTCCATTGATTGTTTCAGGTCAAAGTCGTAGACAGAACAGCTGTTGTCACAGCAAATGCGGAGACTCTGGTTGTGAGCCCCCCTGGCATTCAAGAAGCCATTGATGCTGAAACTGGTAATATTTTGTTATTGATCTTTTCCTGATGCATGTTTTTGTGCATATTCTCAGTATCCTAGTAGTTTCATTACTTTTCTTTTCCTTTTTTTTTTAAATTTTTTTGTAATTTCATTTACATTATTCAGTTAACATCTGTCCTAAGGGCATGATCTTCTCTTAAATCTTTTTGAGGCCACATGTCTATTAACCACTTTTAAAAATCTTTATATGAAATGCAGCAAAGTACCCTAAAGGCCGGTGTTTCATACGGCCATCAGGTACAGAAGATGTCATTCGTGTTTATGCAGAGGCGTCCACACAAGAAGCTGCAGACAGCTTGGCCAACTCTGTTGCAAAAGTTGTTGATCAATTTCTAGGATTTGGCAGCTCTGGACAGTAAGCTTCCCAAAAAAATTTTTATAATGTAACAGAAAGTCACAAGATTTCAAAAAGGTGGTTCTTATTTAACCTACTTAATCTAGTTGCAGAGTTCATGATTCACTACCGGAGTTACAGATAACTACAGATACTTTATACTTTCTATTGGTTTTAGTAAAATTTGTCATCCTACATGTAATCTGTAATTCAAGTAGATTACATTTAATGTTATGTAGATTTTGCTATGGTCAAACTTAAGTATCATAAAATTATATTAATCTCACAACATTTCAAGAAACATGAACTCTTCACACAGTCACTTCTTTTGGGATGATTCAAACATGCATTCGTTTATTAGCAGACAAAAAAAAAAAAAGGAGGAAAAACTGGAAAATACAATAGGGAGAAGGTGAGGAACTGCAAACAAAGTGCAAAGTTCAGCTTCGGCTTTCTACTTTGGCTGACTCTTACGCTTCATCACTTTTTGGGTGTCTTTATAAAACCAACATGTGAAGAGTTAGAGGTTTTAGCCAAGGTTTTCAACTCGTTAGCAGTCCAACATTTGGATGCTTCCCTGTGGTAGAAGTACCCCAAACACTTGCAATCCGAAGTGCATTTCCTCCCACAATCACTCTCCTTCATGGGCCGTTGTCCTTCATTGTACTGGCTCATGAAATGATTGACTCCTTCAAGCTTGTAGTAGCCGGAATCATTAGGCCTACAAGAGGTAAGCTTCTCGGGCTGACAATACTTGCTCCAACCCAATAATCCATTTGGCGATGGGCAAGCAACACACTGGTTCTCCTCACAAAGCCCAAAGTTCCCACACCTCTCTGGCAATTCACATTCTGAACCCCATATTGAGTCCCTAGAGAAGAGAGTAAATGTCTCTTCCCATGCTTGTGAATCAACCTTGTCATTGTAGGTAAAAACCCTCAGGTTTCCGTCTATCCCGAGCCTAAGAATCGACAGTGTGCTGTTGTATTTTGGCCTAGTCAATATTAGATTTCCGGTGCCGAAGGAGGAATTAGCCACAGTATAATCTAGAAGAATATTATAAGCAAAGCCATCATTAGTAGACTCAACATTTAGTATCACAGACTGTAAAGTACCATCTTGGCTACTGGGCCAAACAGATGATTTGAAGTAGACAAGTGGCTTAGGAGAGTTCGAGCCCTTGTACTGCAAAACCAACCCTTTGGGCTCCATCACCAAGCTATAAGGCCCATCAACATTATTTTGGGCAGAAGCCCGGCTCACAAGCTTTGTAGGGCCTCCAACTCGAAGAGACTGACCCACCAAGAGTGTATCGGTTGGATGATCAAAGCTTTGCCAAATAAACTTGCCCTTGGAGTCATGTAGTACCATGTTACCATTTGACAACAATTTGAACCCTACTACACCTTTGTTGGCAGTGTTACTTTGCCAAGCAATCCGGCCATCCGCATCGGCCAAGACAAGATTTCCATCAGTCCTGAGGGAGAACGTGGCGTTCTCTCGAACAGGGTTTCCCCGGTTGGCTTCCCAAACCCAACGGAATAGTGATTCGGAACGTGTGGTAGCCATGCGTAACGCAAGGGTGAAGGCATTAGGGGTTGTGTTATAAAAGGCAAGTTGGAATGGAGCATTAGCTATACTTAAGACACGGTAATCCCCAAGATATTCAACCACAAATGGCCCAAATTCCCCGTCATTGACAAACTTAAATGTAGCCGAGGGAGGGACAGCAGCTCTGACATTGAAAGAAAAGAGCAAGAAGAAGGACACCAAAGACAGCAATGACATGGTGAAAGAAGGAGAAATAGACATTAGCTATTAAATTTGTTAGCTTGGCAAGATGTGGAGCTGAAGCAGCCAGACAGGTCTACATTTAAAATGCGTCCATGAGGGCACTTTGGATATTGGACAGTTTGAAAAAAAAAAAATCTTTTCCTTCCACTAAATGTTGTGTGTCACGTCAAATCTGATCCACAATGTTTGACCTTATCACGTCAGATCTGATCCACAATGTTTGACCTTTCACCATAAAATAAAAATAGAATAATGCAAGAACTGCGGTTGATGTTAACATTGCTAATTCTGGAAGTTAAGGGATTTTTCAGCCAGGGTTAAAATAAAGGCTGCTGCAATTGAATTACAATCACTCTGAAAAACAGCAGCACCAACTGAACAATTTTCCTTTCCAATTCGTTGAATTAAATGTTAAATTAGTTTTCATAATTTGAGCTATCAAAAGTCTTAAAAGTTTAAACAGATAGAAAAGAGATCAATTAGTTATAATTAATTTTAATACATTTTTCACATGAAAATCGAATGAATGATTAATAAACTTGAATGTTGATTCAATTATAAAGAAAAAAAATGCAATTGAGAAAAAAAAATTAAACACACATTGTATATCTTAATAGACAACAAGATTAATCAATTGAATCAAATTTTAATAATTTTTAAATATAAAAAATTATAATTTTGAGATAAAAAATGATTATATATGATAAAATTTAAATTTAAATTTATTACATGAATTTGAATTTGATAATTTTAACATCATGCTAAATTGGGTTATAAATTTTTAAGTTTAAAATTTTATAACAATCACTCTCCCAATTTTTGTTTCAAATTTTATATTATTCACAAATCATTTATCATTTACCACATCTATGATATCAACGGTAAACTTTAAAAGTAAAAAATGTTGCATCAAATTGAATATAGAGTGAGTTCATCTCCGAGCTATAAGAGGGTTGGCAGAATTTTTTAGCATTAAAAAAAAACATTATCTTCATTTAATAAAGATAATTAAAGTTTGTTTGACCAAATGCTGGTTTGTGGGCCTCTTGCTGTCATATGCCGTCTCAAAACATCAAGCCCCGCCATTTTAATAATTGTGAAAAGGCGTCTGCGATTGAAAAGGATCCAAGCCAAGTATCAATCATTTTTTCCCTCAAATGACCAAAATAGAAGGTGAGACGCTCAAAAAAGCTTCTGCAATTTTCTAAAAAACAATATTTTATATGCCACAGTTACGTGCATGTATGATGTATCTGTCAGATTATTTTTCAACTTCGTTTTTACATTTATTTCTTTGAGTGTCAAAAATCTTAATAATTAAATGTATAAAAATTTACTCGATTGGTAAATTCTTTGTTTTGATAAAAATAATTTTAAATTATTAAAATTAAAAATCGTACCCTTAAAACTTTGAATTGTGACTCGCAAGCAAAACAACTTTGAGCTCAACCTGTTGGCTGGACATTATTGTTTTTTGTTTTCATTGATCGAAAAACAAGAGAAAAAAAACAGTGGATCCAACGCGACCAGGCAACAACTTGCTCGAGTCTTTTCTGATGGCTTTGAAAGTACATGGGGACAGCTTAGCTGTGCTGCAATTATTTCTATGGCAGGCCAAAAGATAAGCAATTGAGAGCCACGCCTGGGCACTCCTACGGGGCCCTTGACAAGTATTTAGTATCAAGGTTTAGGTAATGCATTAAAGTTCATTCAAGTTCTGATCCGCTCATTAAAGTTCATTTAATGTTATTTTATTTACATTTAACATCAAATATATTTTTATATAAATAAAAATTAATTATTTAATAATAAAATATTTTATAGAGCCGGCCGAATAAGGCTTTCGAAAATTCACGTGGACATATCTAGTTTTGATTTCGAATTTTCGTTTGACAAAATTGACTTGGATAATGTTAGGAGCACTGGATCAAATTGTTGAGGTTGCTTTCCTATTCCTGCCCCTTTTTGGCGAAATTGAAGTCGTTTTCGAAATAAATAAGAGTGCATAAGACAAAGGTAATAAAGGTATGTGAGAATTGGATAAGTTGCGTAAGCTTCTAGTTGGAGTAAATAAATATTCAAAAACTTGACTTTGACTTGATAAATTGTTAAATATTTCATTTTATAGAGATAGATTGAACTATATATTTTATTATATATAATGTTTAAAAATGTAAATAATTTATTAATATTTATAAATTATTTAAATTTAATTTAATTAAAATTTAAATTTAATTTGATTATTATCGAATCAAACTTGAATTCGAGTAATCTAATTTATCCATCGAGTTAAGTTTTAATATTTTTATATTCGGTTAAAATAACTTAAGAATTTAATTGAGCTTTTATATTTAAATATATTTTTATTATTTTAATTAATAAAATATTTTAAATTTGAATTTGAGTATAAATAATCGAACTTTTATCGAATATAAAAATTATGTTTATTTTTATATATTAATCGAAATTAATCGAATGAATTCAAGTAATGTAATTTTTATTTCAAATCAAATTTAAGCTAAAAAAATAAAATTTGATTGAGTTCAAATCAAATTTCAAACCTAAAATTTTGAATTGAGCTCGAGTTTAATATTGTATTAACTTAAATTCGATCGATTACATTTATAATAATATTAAATATAAATATATGCATTAATGAATTATATACTTTTACATTTCTCTTAAATTTATTTAAAAATATATCTTTTTTTTTAAATGAAACCAAATTTAAATTCAATCTAAATTTAAAACTTAATTAGATGCTTTGAGTCTTTGGATTGGATAGGACTTGAAATTAGATTTATAGTTCGGATGGATCTTAGATAAGAGATTCGAAACTTGAGTTTAATTTGACTCAAAATGTTAAAAAATTAATAATTTTTTTACTTGATTTTAATTTTAAAATATATTTAAAATATTTGAATATTAATATTTAAATATTTTAACTATTTTATTATATATTTTAAAAAAATCAATTCTATTGGTCTCTTTGGGTTGGGTCTAACTTTCAATAAAGATTTTTTAAAGTCAGCCAGACTTGTCTCTATTCAACTCGACCTATAGACAGCTTTAAATCAGGTCAAGAAATTCGAAACAAAGAAAGGTTCCATTTGGCCCATAGGAAGGAAAAGAAAGAGAGAGGTTACAATATTATTGTCGACAAAGAAAAATATAAAAAATTAAGTTATGTTTACATTTTAAGTATAAATGAATTAATGTAAAGGGATAATATTAAGAATGCTTTCTAAATTATAAAAAAATATTTAATGTGATATTTAAATTTTAAAAATATATAATATGATATATAAATTATAAATTTATTAATTAATAAGATATTTGAAGATTTTTTGTGTGTAAATTATCATTATTTAAAATTAAACATATTAAAAATTCATAATTCATATATTATATTAAAAAATTTTTAAATTTAATTATTTTATTAAATATTTTATTATAATTCAAAAGTCTTTCATAACATTAATCTCAATATAAAATAATCTTAAAAAATGTTTTCAATTATCTATAGTATTTATAAAATATGTAACTGAGTTTACTGTCATCACTACGAGTTAAGTGGCATCAAGTATCAACTGAATTGGATGCAATGATAAAAACACCAAAAATAACAAGTAAATAAAAAAGAAACATATAAATAATTTCATTTCAAACAACATAAAAATACCACTAAAAAATTAAATGTAACTTTTCTACCTATTTTTTCACATTTTTTTTAAAATTCTTCACTTAATTTCTTCACATAGCTTTAACCTTATAAACTTCATTAAATAAAGCAATTTTTTCCCTTATGAACCACAATTGTATAAAAGTCTTTTTTTTTTTTTTGGTCAAGCTGGATTTTTTTGACCATTAAATTTTAGAACTTAGTTAGGATATCTTGATTGAAATATTGATTGAAACAGTTTATTTAGGTTCCGTTTGAAAGCACGGTAAGAGTCCTTTCATTGATTGAGTTTACGTTCTATAACTAGACTCTTAAAATTTTTTTTTTGGTAAAAAAGTAAACTTGTAAATGATTCATATCAAGTTAGTTAGATTTAGATATTTTCATGTTTTGCATTTGCAAAAATATGGTATAGGCAGATCACCAGAGGTGTGCTTATCTTTTTGCCGATAAGACTAAATGTAGGGTCTCTTTATTTAATGGTACAGTATTAAATTTTTACCAGAAATGCAGCAAATTGAAGATGAAATAGGACAGATTTTCAATGCGGTGGACCATAGCTTCTGTAGCATATGCTTTCCGATTCCAAACAATGATGGATATCAAAGATAATTCCCTCCACCAAATCTATGGTCCATTTGCTTACGATACAGTTCCTCGATGTATAAACTTTATAGAAGAATGGTTAAATTTTACTCCACCAATGAGCTGATTCAGCAGTTTGAATCAAGTTTTTCTAAGGAAGCTTAATTTGGGATAGATAGGTTGCGTGTTCCAAGTTAGGAAAATTTGTATTGTATTTCGAGTCATTTTAAGTTTAAATTATTTTAAATTTGGATTGTTCAGGATTTATATTTTTTAGATATTTAAATTACTTGTATTTGGATTATTTAAAATTTAAATTATTTAATTTTAAAATTAAATCAATTTAAATTTAAGTAATTTTAATTTTTAACTTTCTTTGATCAGGTTTTTTTACGTTTAAATCAATTTTCCTAGCTCAGAATTTATACTTTATAGGAACTGTTATGCATTTGATATTAGCTTTAACGAGCATTTCTGGTAATGCGCACTCAATAAAAACGACTTTGCCAATTAAATCAAAACACTTGTGTTAAGATCTCAATCAAGAAGAGCACATTGGATATTTTGTGGCAGGATCTGATAACGATCACTAAGCCCAAATGCCTGACTTGACCAATTTCGCCGTAAACAGCCAAACCTACTTATCTTGACTTTCAATGCCACATTGAATTCCTTCTGAAAAGTATTACTTACCTACACAGTATATGTACCGGTCCTAGTATCTCATTCGAACCAGAGTCTACAGACAAATTTTGGGCACCAATGGCTTCTAAAATATCTGGACCTTTTTTTCAATTCATTTTCCTTTCTCTCTTTGCTTTTGCTACTACTCTAGCCAAAGTACCTGCAAACCAGACCTTCAAATTCATCAATCAGGGTGAATTTGGAGATCGAATTATCGAATACGATGCTAGTTACCGAGTAATCCGAAACGATGTTTACACTTTTCTTGCACCCCCTTTTCGCCTTTGCTTCTATAATACCACTCCTGATGCTTTTATTTTTGCCATTAGAGCTGGCTTTCCTAACGAAGAAAGCCTAATGAGGTGGGTATGGGACGCTAACCGCAACAATCCGGTTCGCGAAAACGCCACTCTTACGTTTGGCGAGGACGGGAATTTCGTGCTTGCGAATGCGGATGGTCGTGTGGCTTGGCAAACCAACACGGCTAACAAAGGTGTCACGGGCATTAAGTTACTAACAAATGGTAACTTAGTACTATTTGACAAAAATGGCAAATTTGTTTGGCAAAGTTTTGATTACCCAACTGATACTTTATTGGTGGGTCAATCTGTTAAAATCAACGGTCGAAACAAGCTTGTTAGTCGAACATCTGACATGGACGGCTCTGATGGACCCTATACTATGATACTAGACCGTAAAGGGTTCATCATGTATTTAAAAAATTCAGGTCGGCAACTTATTTATGGGGGATGGCCAGTAAAAGACTTTGGAGACATTGTGACATTTGATGCCGTGCCTGAAAATGATAATGCGACAGCTTACGAGTTAGTCCTACAGACAACACATTTACAAGCTCATCAGGGCAATTCTCCGGCGGGCAACGGTGGTCGACGACTTCTTCAAGTTCGTCCTATAGGCGGAGGCGGCCAATCCTTCCTTAATAAACTGAACTACAATGCCACAATTTCTTTCTTAAGACTCGGATCTGATGGAAACCTGAGGGCTTTCACATATTATGACCCGGTGAGTTACTTAAAATGGGAAGAGACCTTTGCTTTTTTCTCACCTTACTTCATTAGGGAATGTGCTTTGCCATCAAAATGTGGCTCATTTGGGCTATGTGACAAGCGAATGTGTGTGGCTTGTCCGAGTCCTAAAGGTCTTGTAGGATGGAGTGAAAGCTGTAAGCCACCAAAGCTAGCACCTTGTGGGACAGCAGCTAAGGTTGATTACTACAAGATTGTGGGGGTAGAGCATTTTTTGAACACATATTTGGATGATGGTGAAGGTCCAATGAAGGTTGAGCAATGCAGAGAAAAATGTACCAAGGATTGCAAATGTTTGGGTTTCATTTACAAGGAAGACACATTCAAATGCTTGACTGCTCCACTGCTTGGGACACTAATAAAAAATGTGAATGCTACATCTGTGGGATATATTAAGTACTCGAAGTAGATTTTATTTTGTCATGTGTTTTGCTCTTGTGCCCTCTCAAATGAATAAACTTCTATTAATTTATATGTAATGCTTATATTTATAGTCGTGGGATCTACTAAAACCAAATCCAAATTCACTTGAATTTTATGTAATTGAATAAAACATTTGTGAATTTATTTTGTATATAGTTCTAATTTTGGAGGTATATTTATATGTGTGTGAATATATACACAGTTACATACATCATTTTTAATTAGATATACATATAAATATTGATCTAATAAAGGAAAAGCGAGATTTTACTATTTATGCCATTTCTCATGTACCCAAAAAAAATATTTAATACATTGTTGATGAGAAGAATTAGAGAATTATCACATAACCCATTGGCCCAATATTGTCATGCAACAGACCAATTGCCAAATGTCTAGGCTTATCAACTTTTGTTCTGCTTCGATGTTGAGAAAATTCTCTTAAGGGGTGCAAATTGGGTTTTTTGTTTTTTGCTTTTCACTAATTGGGGCAATGGAATTCCATCCGTTGGGCCTATATATAGATTATTTGGGTTAACCCATTAGAATGCGCTATGAAAGACATGAATGAGAAATATATCAAGTATATCAAATGTTATCCAAAAATATATCAAGTGATAATGACAACGGGAAATGAAATTGAATATGAAATTTAAGGACTATTACATCAAGGCAAGGTAAGATATATTTTTAGTCCTGCCTGAAACACAAAATATTTGTTCAAGTAGTTTTAGATTACTTGTACAACAAAATTAATTTTAACAGCTTTACTTGATTTTTTTAGGTTAAATTTGTCTAGATAACACCCTAGAATTTTGTTACAAGTTACAAAATTGAAATTATAGTTCATGGACAGTTGTAATGGTTAGTAAGCTAAATATTAGCCTGTAGGTTTTATGGGTTTTCAACCCCCCAACTCAATATTAACTTTCCTTTCTATTTTGTACTTCTTTATTAATAAATCATATATATATATATATATATATATAAACAAATGTTGACTCAAATAATGAGAGAGTTTGCTAATTTTTTAACTCTCTGGATTCAAATTTGTTGAAAAGATATGAGAATGTAATTTATAATGAATTTTTTAGACTCGAAATAAATAAATTTAATTGAACTTACTCAAAACATGATTGTATTGGGTAAAATCTAAAAATCTCTTAATAAATTCTACTTCTTCTATATCAAAATATTTTTTTTCACGAAATTTAAAAAAAAAAAAAGAATTTTGATTTTAATTAAAATTTAAATTTTGGATAATAAAAAAAATAAGATATAATTTTGAAACATTTAAAAAAAAGATAGACAAAGAACGTAAGACAAAGAGTATAATGAACAGAAAAAAATGTTTGAATTAATTTGCTTAAATAATTATGTAAACAAAGAAACAATATACATACGATTCATGCATCTAAACATAACCTTGAAAGGATCAACATGACAATAGACGAAGTTTGCCGCTCCCAATAATTTGAGCATCAAATCAAACTTAATGGTTCAATATTATAAAATAAAAAATTAACCAATCTGAAATCTCTCAAGATTTGGATGACAAAGGTGGATCACATTTTTGTCCCAAGAATATTTTAAACCTTCACTACATGGAATTAACCTTTGATTATAGGTTTATTGGAAGGGGATGTTGACAATTTTCATTCTTTAAAAACTCTACCACAAATACCTTTTTTATATTAATTAATTATTACATGGTCAATAGCCAGCTTTGAGTCATCATTTCTTTAGAATTATTGGCTTAGATTCCATCCTAAGAAAGACTACTGCCACCTTACAATTTCCTCAACTTTAATGCAATGCAATAGTCATGGGTAGGCATTGATTCCCCTAGAGAAACCACAGTAATTCTTTTCTTTTCTTTTTTTGCCACAACTTTTTTGCTCTTTTTTTGTATTAATATATTTGCAAAAACTCTTTTTTAATATAAAAGAATGGTTGCTTTTTTTTTTCCTTCTACCATCATTCCAAAATCCCATTCAATCTTCAATCTTTTTGGTGATTGTGATTGATGATATGTATTCTTTCTTGTAGCAAATAATAGCATCCATTGCCTTTTATATGCATGCATCCCAAGGAAAATGAAATCCCAACAAAGCATATGGGAATGGGAGAGTATATCAACTTTTCTCCTCTTTTTTTTCTTCCATTTGAACACCAAAATTTTGGTTGAGAATCCACCTTTTCTCTCCCAATATAGGAGGCTTAAGATTTGTTGTCAAAAATCTTCTTTCCCAAGCTGTCATTTGCCTTTTCTTGTAAAGATATGAATCCACCCTTCTCATCGATTTTAGATTTAAATCATCTTAATTTAGAGCCTCAACAATTGTTAAATCTCTTCAAAAATAGATGAAGTTTATAATTTCAATCCTTGTTTCCTCTTAAACTTCATTGTACCCAAATGTGTGTATAAATAAATATTTATATATAGAAATATATAAATAAATATATATATATATGTTTGACTATAAAATGCTTTTCCATTATTTTGTTTCAAAGTAACAAGTTGGTTATCATGATATATATATATATATATATATGTTTGACTATAAAATGCTTTCCATTATTTTGTTTCAAAGTAACACAAGTTGCTTATCATGATCGGCATATCTTGATTACAGATGTACATAAGTTAGGTAGGGTTCCAGGCTAGGTTGACATTTTTAAAGGCTTGCCCATGCTCGATGAACCCATTAAAATTCATTCAAGTCCATTATTACTTAAAATATATTTAAAATATATTTTTAATATTAATATTTTAATATTTTTAAACATATTTTAAAATTTAAGTTAAATAAGAAAAAATTTTTAGTAATAAAATACTATTCTATGCGGTGCCAAGCTTAAAAAATTTTGACAAGTTACTTAATTTATAAATAGGTTTGATCTTGATTAAAGATGCTTATAGATCGAACAAGATGAAATTTGATTGATGATTTTAAGAATTTGTTCAAAATTATTTTTATATTAAAATAATTTAATAATTTGATATATATTTAAAATTAAATTTGAATAAACCCTAATTTTTATATTAAAATAGTAATCGAATGCAGCAAAGCTAGACCTAAAGTTAAACTCTTTGTCCAAGGCAGAGGACAACCTAATCTGTAAGTCTGACAAGCAGCTCAATCCATGAGCCGATCTAATCTTGATCCATACAATATATCTGAGTGCTGTCTTTTTAAATTCAATTTCGCCACTTTTCTTTGCCAAAAAAATTTTCGTCCCTTTCCTAGTTTTCCTCTTCCTAGAACCGCAAGTTTAACTAGTGAATCGGTAGTAATTTCTAATACATTTGATGATCTAACATGGATTCTACCCAAAGATCTTGCTTTTTTTTTCTTTAGTGAAAATTCATTTTTAAATTGTTTCGATTCTAATTTTAGATAATAATGGTGTTCATTAATTACTTATGAAATTAGTTGAAGAATGAATGCAAATATCCTAAAATCTAGAATAAAGTTAAAATCCATCAATATGTGAAATTTAAACCACTATTATTCAATTTATTGGAAAGATATATATATATATTTGTATGTATATATATAGGTCCCTAGTTAATTAACTTCAAAAGGATGAAGCAAGATATTCTAGCTCAATCCCAGCCTATGGGATAGCCACTTATGTCATCTTAATTCTAATTGTCGCTTATACCAAAATTAAATTGAATACGAGTTATAAGCTTTTGCAATTTTACCAAATTTGACAATAAAAATAAATGCTAGTTGGCAAAGACATAAAAGAGATGCGTGCAGATAAAAATGACTCAACATTATTTATCTAAAGAAAACCTTGTAAAAGGGTTTTTTGTTGAGATGGGAAAGCATTGTAAACAAGTAGAACATGATATGCTAGGAGATTGTGAATAAAAATTGGAACAGATCCTAAAGTATTGAGTGTAGCAGAGAGAATTTCAGAAAGAACTGAGCAAATTTGCCAAAAGTCTCTTAAAATATCCCTCAATGAATTGTGAGAACTTCTATTTATAGGTTTCAAGAATATGAGTTACATATCTTGAGTATTGAATAACAATAATGACGAAATTGATAATTATAAAAGATGCTAATGTATTAAATATGAATAATGGGGACTAATGGGAGAATTGACTGTTACAAAATGTGTTAATATATTAGTTAATGAGAGTTTAATTAGCTTTTGGTGATAGGTATAGTGAACATAAAAGTTCACTGTCTATTCTAAAATAAAAGGAGAAGCATTCATATTTTTAGGAAAGGTTAAAATAAATCTTTTAACTATTTCAATATCTAATCCACCAAGTCAAGTTTTCTGAAATATCTTAATATTTAACCCAAGAACCTTGTCATATTTCAAAGTTATTTTCACTTTTTTCATTTGGTAAAGCAATATTCGGTGAATCATCTTTTGTGGAATACCTCTTAGTGAAGCAACTTTTGGTGAAAGAGTTTTCGGTAAAAATGTTGGTGTTGTTTCTTGAGGAAGTTGTTTCGAGAACAACTATTTCGTTAAGATGTTTCATAAAGAAGTTGTTTCTTAAATAGTTGTTCTATGAACAACTATTTTGTGAAAAAGTTGTATAGTTGTTCAATGAATAATTGTTTTGTAAATAACCTTCACTAAAACAATCTTTTCATCTGTTTTAATTTATCATCGACTTTAATAATTTTAGATAAATTTATAAAAATAAAATATTAGTAACTAAAATAAAGTATCTACAAACATCAATACTGTTATTTAGATTCATGAGAAGTATTGTACTAAATGTTGTCAGTGATTAAACTCTACTATTGAAATTAATAATCTAAGATTTTGCTAACATATCATAAGATTATTAGCTTTTGATAAAAAAAAGTACTAATGAAATATATTTATGGACAAATCTAAGAGTAGTTAAGGAAATGGTAAATGATAAAAAAGGAGGGAGGTGAAAATTTGTGGATCTCACTATTGATGGTTTTTATAATATAAAAAAAAGAAACTTGTGATATAATGTAGTTTTTAAATTGAATTGACAATAGAATGTAGTTTTCAAATATCCTAGAAAGTAAAGAATAATAGACAAAAAAAAAGAGAAAAAAATCCTTTTTGATATTATTATAAAAACTAAAAAATGAGATAAATTTAGAGAAGGTATGTAGGTTTTTTTTTTTTTTTT